TAAGATCTGGAAGCGGTTGTGAGACTGAGTAAGGTGGGAAGGACAAGGAGAGGTAGAACACAACACTCGAGCGTAGGATACGCCAGCGAAAGGGGTGAGACGGCGAACTTGGGGTCTCGCTTCAGGAAAAGGCAGACGATTCTTGTGTTTGAAGTTGAGGACGGCTTCCTCAAGTTTGTAGTGTATACACGAGCTGGAAAAGGTAGGGTGAGCCTTGAGGTTATCTTGAGATGATTTCGGGGCTTTTTTTTTTTTTTAGTGTCCCCGCGGCCCAGTCCTCGACCAGGCCTCCACCCACACGAAGCAGCCCGTGACAGCTAACACCCAGGTACCTATTTACTGCTAGGTAACAGGGGCATTGGGTGAAAGAAACACTGCCCATTGTTTCTCGCCGGCGCCCGGGATCGAACCCGGGACCACAGGATCATAAGTCCTGTGTGCTGTCCGCTCGGCCGACCGGCTCCCTCGGGCCTCACCGCAATTGAGGTAGAGAGCCTAGGGAGAAGTGCACTCGGACTTAGAGTGATCATCGGCCCCACACAAGGGGCATAGATACACAGTACTTGAGCATATGAGGACACCTTGCCCGAACTTCCAGCACTTATTGCAAAGTCTAGGAGAGGGACTGTACTCCTGAATGGAGCATCTGGCGCCAGCAAGAATTATAGAGGGCGGAAGGGTACTACTATCAAAGGTGATTTTCACAACCCGAAGGGGCTGACGGAGACGACCACGAGGGGGTCGAGTAAACGTGTCTACCTGGAGGACAGGATGGCCTTGGGCTTCGAGGATATGTTTAATATCCTCATGGCAGTCTGTTAGGTCCCTAACACCAGTTGCAACATGGTGTGGGAGAACAGTGCCAACACTGGCATTTAACCAAGCATTTTTGGAGACCCGAACAGAGTTCTCCCCAATGCAGGACAATGCAGCTAAGCGGGTAGCTGCATCCGGTGAAGGAGCAGCGACGACACGTGTACCTAAACGGGTGGGGTTAAAAGTAACAGAGGCATCCACCGAATCAACAAGGTGTTTATGGAGTGGGAAATCGTCAGGAGGTGTAGAATTCATAGGAAGGAGATCAAAGTATTTAGCCCACGAGGCAGGACCAAACAGGGCTTGGTACGTATTAGTATGGGAAGGGATCATGTGAGTGCGGCCGTGGCAGGGACGGCGTAGAGAACCCCCCAGAGAGAGAGAGAGAGGGGTTAAAAGATGCAGTAGTCACAATGAGAGACTGAGCCGTACCAGGGGACGAGGTGGTCACCGCTGGGGGCATATGGCTCGTCCCAACAACAGAGGAGGGAGGAGAGCCGAGGGGGGAGTAGTCAGGAGGTTCAAAGGAGGAGCTAGGTCTAGGCCCAATGTAGCGGAGGCTACAGAGCCCGGTCTTCCAACCCAGTCCGACTCGGGGGCTTGGTCACCCACCCCCCACGAGCCTGAGAAGTCATAGGAGGAACAGTATTCAGCGACATGAAAACGACAGGTAATAATTTCGTTCACGAATGTGCCCCCGTGTCCATCACAGAGCCACAATTAGAGGCAGGACACCCAGCAAGATACATGTTGCTGATCTTGCCGGGGCCCGCTAGGGGTGCGTCGTGAGTATATGCCCCGCAAACGCCACCTTAAGAACCGTCAGTCCGCCGAGATCGGGTTCAGCGACGAAAGGAGGATTGATAATGAAAGGGTCCCCTCGCTCGAGACGTTGGGTATTACAGTTCTACGGGTGACAGAGTATGCCTCCCCAAACACCAAGGGATCAAAACAGAAGTCCGAAAGAACAATCATGACTGGCAAAAGGTCGGCAGGAAATGACAATTAGAAAGGAGAAGAGGGAGGGGGAGAAAAATGAAACACAAGGAAAATGATAAGAATTCTGGCAAAATTGGCAAAGGCAGCAGCAGGAGCATAAGGCTTCAAACGGACAGAGGACTGACCCATGGAGCATCACACTCCGGCAGCCGCCCACCACAGCACCCTCACCGCGTGCCTGCACCGCGACAACGAACCAGAAAAGGGGTATGGCACCAGAAGTGCTTCAAAATAAGTACTGCAAGAGGCTAAGGGTTAGCCTTATTGCACCATATGTTATTCAAAAGTCTGAGTGTTAGTTGAATAGCAGCACAAGAGCTGCAGAAGGATAAAAATTAGTCTTTTTACACAATTCGTGCTGAAAAAAAGCTTAGGGTAAGTCTTATGGCACCATAAATACTGCAGAAGTCTTAGGGTTAGCCTTATGACACCATAAGTGCTGCAGAAGGCGTAAGGTTAGTCTTATGGCACCATACGTACTGCAAAATTTTAGGTGTTAGTCTTGTAGCACCTTAAGTGATGCAGAAGGCTGCGGGTTAGTCATATGCCATGATAGGTGCTGCAGAAGTCTGAGAGTTTGTCTTATAGCACCATACGAGCAACAGAAGGCTGAGGGTTAGTCTAATGCAATGATAGGTGCAGCAAAATTCAATTCTGCGAGTTAGTCTTATGTCCCAATAAGTTTTGCAGAAGTCCGCGAGTTAGTCTTATAACACCATAAATAATGCAGAAGGATAAGGGTTAGACTTATAGCACCATACGTTCTGCATAAGGCTGAGAATTAGTCTCATAGCACAATAGGTACTGCAGAAGGCTGATGGTTAGTCTTATGGCACCATGAATAATGCAGAAGGCTGAGGGTTAGTCTTATGGCACCATAAGTACTGAAAGAGGCTGAGGGTTAGTCTCATGGAACCATAAGAAGTGCAGAAGGCTGGGAAGTAGTCCTATGGCACCATAAGTGCTGCTAAAGGCTGCGAGTAAGACTTATGCCATGATAAGTGCTGCAGAAGTCTCAGAGTTAATATTACTGTTCATAAGTACTGTAGAAGGCTGAGGGTTAGTCTTGTGGCATCCATAAGTGCTGCAGAAGGCTTAGAGTTAGTCGTTTTGCACCATAAGTGCTGCAGAAGGCTGAAGGTTAGTCTTATGGCACCATTCGTATTGCAGGAGGCTGAGGGTTAGTCCTATGGCACCATAAGTGATGAAGAAGGCTGATGGTTAGTCTTACGGCACCATACGTACCGCAAGAGGCTAAGGGGTTAGCCTTAAGTCACCATAAGTGCAGCATAAGGTTGAAGGTTAGTCTTATGGCACCATACGTACTGCAAAAGTGTGGGTGTTAGTCTTGTAGCACCATAAGAGCAGCAGAAGGCTGAGGGTTAGTCTTACGGAACCATAAATAAATAAATAAATGTTTATTCAGGTAAAGTGCGTACATACAAGAGGTTATACAAAAATTGATGGATTTATAGATAGAGCTAGTACATACAATGCCTAAAGCCACTATTACGCAAAGCGTTTCGGGCAGGAAAAACATTAAAGACTAAAACTTAATACAATTGAGAATAAAGTATAAAATGTGTTGAGAACAAATAAAAATAAAAATAAAAAAGGGGAGAACATGGCAGAAAAAGCAGCACAAATACAATTAGGTCGACAAACAGCGTTGTTTAAAAAAACAGACATGGGTTGACAATACAGGGGTAAGGTAGGTTACAGGTTATTTATTAGGTAGTGTTTAGTTTTTATCTTAAGCTGGTTGACAGAGGTACAGTCTTTAACATGATTGGGAAGGTCATTCCACATTCCCTTGATTTGTAGAGCATTTCTAGTTTGATTAAGTCTTACTCTTGGAATATCATAAGTGCTGCAGATGGCTGACGGCAAGTCTTATGTCACCATACGTGCTATTGAAATCGGAAGTTGAGTCTTATGTCACCATAAGTACTGCAGAATGCTGGGAGTGAGCTGTATTGCACTATAAGTACTGCAGAAGGCTGAGGACTAGTCTTATGCCATGATATGTGGTGAATAAGTCTGAGAGTAAGTCTTATTGCACCATAAGAGCTACAGAGGGCTGAGGGTTAGTTTGATGCTGTGATATATGTAGCAGAATTCAGGGAGTTAGTCTTATGGCACAGTGAGTGACGCAAATGTCAGCAAGCTAGTCTTATGGAGATTGCAGTGGCGTAGTCTCATGCCTTGATAGATGCTGCAGAGGTCTCAGAGTTAGTTTTATGGCACCATAAGTGCTGCAGAATGCTGAGTGTTAGTCTTATAGCACCATACGAGCAAAGAAGGCTGAGGGTTAGTCTAATGCCACGATAAGTGCAGCATAATTCTGCGAGTTAGTCTTATGGGCCCAATATATACGTGCTGCAAAAGGCTGAGGGTTAGTCTTATGACACGATACGTGCTGCAAAAGGCTGAGGGTTAGTCTTATGACACCATACGTGCTGCAAAAGGCTGAGGGTTAGTCTTATGACACCATACGTGCTGCAAAAGGATGAGGGTTAGTATTATGGCACCATAAGTGCTGCAGATAGCTGATGGCTAGACTTATGGCACCATTCGTACTGCAGGAGGCTGAAGGTTAGTTATATTGCACCATAAGTGCTGTAGATGGCTTAGCGGGGTTCATATGGCTCAATAAGTGCTGCAGAAGACTGAGAGTTGGCTTTTTTTACCAAAAGAGCTGTAAAAGGCTTATGGTTAGTCCCAGGGCACTATAAGTGCCATAAAAATATGAAGGTGAGTCTTATGGCAACAAACGTGCTGCAGAAGGCTGCGGGTTAGTCTTATTCCATCACCAGTACCGCAGATAGCTGCGGGTTAGTCTTATTGCACCATAAGTGCTGCAGAAGGCTGAGGGTGAGTCTTATGGCACCTTAAGTGCTGCAGAAATCTGCGTGTGGTACCCAAGTGGTACTTCAGGGATCCTACAGGGGTCGCCCAAGGGTACTCCAGGGGTCCTCCAGGGGTACTCCAGGGGTTCTTCAGTGGTCTTCCAGGGGTCCTCCAGAAGTTCTTCATTGCTCCTTCAGGGATCCTCCAGTGGTCCTCCAGTGGTCCTCCAGGGGACCTTCAGGGGTACTCCAGGCGACCTCCAGGGGTTCTCCAGGGGTCCTCCAGGGGTCCTCCAGGGGGTCCTCCAGTACTCCAGGGGAACAGGAGGGTGGGTCCTACAAAGGTCCTCCAGGGGACCTCCAGGGGTTCTCCAGTGGTCCTCCAGTAGCCCTCCAGGGGTCCTCCAGTAGTCCTCCAGGGGTCCTCCAGTGGTCCTCCAGTGGTTCTCCAGTGGTCTTCCATGGGTCCTTCAGGGGTCCTCCAGTGGTCGTCCAAGGGTCCTCCAGGGGTCCTCCAGGGGGTCCTCCAGGGTTTCCAGGGGTCCTCCAGGGGTACTCCAGGCAACCTTCAGGGGTCCTCCAGCGGTCCTCCAGGGGTCCTCCAGGGGGTCCTCCAGGGGAACTCCAGGGGGACTGGAGGGTGGGTCCTCCAAGGGTCCTCCAGGGGACCTCCAGGGGTTCTCCAGGGGTCCTCCAGTGGCACCCTAGTGGTCCTCCAGTTGTCCTCCAGTGGTCCTCCATGGGTTCTCCAGGGATGATCGAGTGGTCCTGCAGGGGTCCTCCATTTGTACTCCAGGGATCCTCCAAGTGAACTCCAGGGGGTCTTCCAGGGGGTTCTCCTGTGGTCCTCCAGTGGTCCTCCAAGGATCCTCCAGTTTTCTTCCAGTGGTCCTCCAGTGGTCCACCTGGGGGTTCTCCAGGGGTACTAGAGAGGTTTCTCCAGGGGTCCTCCATGGGACTCCCATATGGTCACCCAGGGGTCCTCTAGGGGTCCTCCAGGGGTCCCCCAGGGGTCCCCCATATGTTCACCCAGGGGTCTTCCATTTGTTCTCCAGTGATCCTCCAGGGGTCCTCCAGTGGTCTTTCAGGGGTCCTCCAGGGGTCCTCCAGAGGTACTCCAGGGGTCCCCTAGGAGTTCACCAGGGGTCCTCTAGAGGTACTCCAGGGGTCCTCCAATGGTCCTTCATTGGTCCTCCAGGGGTTCTCCAGGGTTCCTCCAAGGGTCCTCCAGGGGTCTTCAAGATGTACTCCAGGGGTCCTTCAGTGGTCCTCCAGAGGTCCTCAAGATTTACTCCAGGGGTCCTTCAGTGGTCCTCCAGGGGTCCTCCACGGGTACTCCAGGGGTCCTCCAGGGGGACTGGAGCTAGGGGGTCCTCCAGGGGTCATCCACGGGTACGCCAGGGGTCCACCAGGGGTCCTCCAGGGGTCCTCCAGGGGCACTGGAGCTAGGGGGTCCTCCAGGGGTCTTCCAGGAGTCCTCCATGGGTCCTCCAGGGCTACTCCAATGGTACTCTAGAGGCCCTCCAGGGGTCCTCCAGGGGGTACTCTAAAGGTACTCCAGGGGTCCTCCAGCGGGTCCTCCAGTGGTACTCCAGGGATCCTCCAGGGGGTCCCATATAGGGGTACTCCAAGGTTCCTCCAAGTGTCCTCCAGGGGGTCCCCTAGGGGTACTCAAGTGGTTCTCCAGGGGTCCTCCAGGGGTTCTCCAGGGGTCTTTAAATGGTCCTCCAGGGTTCTCCAGGGGTCCTTCAATAGTACTCCAGTGGTCCTCCAGGGGTACTCCAGTGATTCTCTAGGGGTCCTCCAGGGGTTCTCCATGTGTACTCCAGTGGTCCTCCAGGGGTACTCCAGGGGTCCTCCAATGGATCTTCTGTGGTCCTTAAGGGGTCCTCTAGTGGTCGTCCAGTGGACCTCCAGGGAGTCTTCCAGTTGTCCTCCAGGAGTCCTCCAGGGGGTCCTTCAGTGGTCCTTCAGTGGTCCTCCAAGGGTCCTTCAGGTGTCCTAGAGGGGTCCTCCAGTGGTCCTTCAGGGGGTCCTTCAGTGGTCCTCCAGGGGGTCCTCCAGTGGTCATTCAGGGGTCCTTCAGTGGTCCTTCAGTGGTCCTTCAGGGGTCGGGTGGTGTTCCTACAGTGGTCTTCTAGTGGTCCTCCAGGGGTCCTCCAGGAGGGTTCTCCAGTGATCCTTTAGTGGTCCTCCAGGGGTCCTCCAGTGGTCCTCCAGTGATCCTTCAGTGGTCCTCCAGGGGTCCTCTAGGGGTCCTCCAGGGGTCCTCCAGTGATCCTTCAGGGGTCCTCCAGGGAATCCCATAGGGGTACTCCAGTGGTCCTCCAAGAGTCCTCCAGGGGGTTCACTAGGGGTACTCCAGTGGTCCTCCAGGGGTCCTCCAGGGGAACTCCAGGGGTTCTCCTGGGGGACTCCAGTGGTTCTCCAGGGGTACTCCAATGGTCGTTCAGGGGTACTCCAGTGGTCCTCCAGGGGTACTCAAGTGGTCCTCCAGGGGTACTCCAGGGGTTCTCCAGGGGTACTCCAGTGGTCCTCCAGGGGTACTCCAGTGGTCCTCCAGGGGTACTCCAGGGTTACTCCAGGGTTCCTCCAATAGTACTCTAGTGGTCCTGCAGTGGTATACTAAAGTGGTCCTCCAGGGGTCCTCAAGGGGTCCTCCAGGGGTTCTCCATAGGTCCTCCAAGGGTACTCCAGTGATACTCTAGCGGTCCTCAAGGGGTCCTCCAGGGGTCCTCCAGGGGTCCTCCAATGGAACTCCAGTGGTCCTCCAGGGGTCCTCTACGGGTCCTCAAGGGGTACTCCTGTGGACCTCCAGTAGACATCCAGGAGTACTCCAGTGGTCCTTCAGTGGTCCTCAAGTGGACCTTCGGGGGTACTCCAGTAAGTGGTCCTCCAGTGGTCCTCCAGGGGTACTCCAATGGTCCTCCAGTGGTCCTGCAGTGGCTCTTCAGAGGTCCTCCATGGGTACTCCAGTGGTCCTCCAGGGGTCCTCCAGGGGAACTCCAGGGGTTCTCCAGGGGTACTCCATTGGTCCTCCAGGGGTACTCAAGTGGTCCTCCAGGGGTACTCCAGGGGTTCTCCAGGGGTACTCTAGTGGTCCTCCAGGGGTACTCCAGTGGTCCTCCAGGGGTACTCCTGGGGTTCTCCAGGGGTCCTCCAGGGGTTCTCCAGGGGTACTCCAGTGGTCCTAAAGGGGTCCTCCAGGGGTACTCCAGGGTTCCTCCAATGGTACTTTAGTGGTCCTGCAGTTGTATACTCCAGTGGTCTTCCAGGGGTCCTCAAGGGGTCCTCCAGGGGTTCTCCAGGGGTCCTACAGGGGTACTCCAGTGATACTCTAGCGGTCCTCAAGGTGTCCTCCAGGGGTCCTCCAGGGGTCCTCCAATGGAACTCCAGTGGTCCTCCAGGAGTCCTCAACGGGTCCTCAAGGGGTACTCCTGTGGTCCTCCAGTAGTCATCCAGGAGTACTCCAGTGGTCCTTCAGTGGTCCTCAAGTGGACCTTCGGGGGTACTCCAGTACGTGGTCCTCCAGTGGTCCTCCAGTGGTCCTCCAGTGGTCCTCCAGGGGTACTCCAATGGTCCTCCAGTGGTCCTGCAGTGGCTCTTCAGAGGTCCTCCAGGGGTACTCCAGTGGTCCTTCAGTGGTCCTCAAGTGGTCCTTCAGGGGTACTCCAGTACGTGGTCCTCCAGTGGTCCTCCAGTGGTCCTCCAGGGGTACTCAAGTGGTCCTCCAGGGGTACTCCAGGGGTTCTCCAGGGGTACTCCAGTGGTCCTCCAGGGGTACTCCAGTGGTCCTCCAGGGGTACTCCAGGGTTACTCCAGGGTTCCTCCAATGGTACTCTAGTGGTCCTGCAGTGGTATACTAAAGTGGTCCTCCAGGGATCCTCAAGGGATCCTCCAGGGGTTCTCCAGGGGTCCTCCAAGGGTACTCCAGTGATACTCTAGCGGTCCTCACGGGGTCCTCCAGGGGTCCTCCAGGGGTCCTCCAATGGAACTCCAGTGGTCCTCCAGGGGTCCTCTACGGGTCCTCAAGGGGTACTCCTGTGGTCCTCCAGTAGACATCCAGGAGTACTCCAGTGGTCCTTCAGTGGTCCTCAAGTGGACCTTCGGGGGTACTCCAGTAAGTGGTCCTCCAGTGGTCCTCCAGGGGTACTCCAATGGTCCTCCAGTGGTCCTGCAGTGGCTCTTCAGAGGTCCTCCAGGGGTACTCCAGTGGTCCTCCAGGGGTCCTCCAGGGGAACTCCAGGGGTTCTCCAGGGGTACTCCATTGGTCCTCCAGGGGTACTCAAGTTGTCTTCCAGGGGTACTCCAGGGGTTCTCCAGGGGTACTCTAGTGGTCCTCCAGGGGTACTCCAGTGGTCCTCCAGGGGTACTCCTGGGGTTCTCCAGGGGTCCTCCAGGGGTTCTCCAGGGGTACTCCAGTGGTCCTAAAGGGGTCCTCCAGGGGTACTCCAGGGTTCCTCCAATGGTACTTTAGTGGTCCTGCAGTTGTATTCTCCAGTGGTCTTCCAGGGGTCCTCAAGGGGTCCTCCAGGGGTTCTCCAGGGGTCCTACAGGGGTACTCCAGTGATACTCTAGCGGTCCTCAAGGTGTCCTCCAGGGGTCCTCCAGGGGTCCTCCAATGGAACTCCAGTGGTCCTCCAGGAGTCCTCAACGGGTCCTCAAGGGGTACTCCTGTGGTCCTCCAGTAGTCATCCAGGAGTACTCCAGTGGTCCTTCAGTGGTCCTCAAGTGGACCTTCGGGGGTACTCCAGTACGAGGTCCTCCAGTGGTCCTCCAGTGGTCCTCCAGTGGTCCTCCAGGGGTACTCCAATGGTCCTCCAGTGGTCCTGCAGTGGCTCTTCAGAGGTCCTCCAGGGGTACTCCAGTGGTCCTTCAGTGGTCCTCAAGTGGTCCTTCAGGGGTACTCCAGTACGTGGTCCTCCAGTGGTCCTCCAGTGGTCCTCCAGGGGTACTCAAGTGGTCCTCCAGGGGTACTCCAGGGGTTCTCCAGGGGTACTCCAGTGGTCCTCCAGGGGTACTCCAGTGGTCCTCCAGGGGTACTCCAGGGTTACTCCAGGGTTCCTCCAATGGTACTCTAGTGGTCCTGCAGTGGTATACTAAAGTGGTCCTCCAGGGGTCCTCAAGGGGTCCTCCAGGGGTTCTCCAGGGGTCCTCCAAGGGTACTCCAGTGATACTCTAGCGGTCCTCAAGGGGTCCTCCAGGGGTCCTCCAGGGGTCCTCCAATGGAACTCCAGTGGTCCTCCAGGGGTCCTCTACGGGTCCTCAAGGGGTACTCCTGTGGTCCTCCAGTAGACATCCAGGAGTACTCCAGTGGTCCTTCAGTGGTCCTCAAGTGGACCTTCGGGGGTACTCCAGTCAGTGGTCCTCCAGTGGTCCTCCAGGGGTACTCCAATGGTCCTCCAGTGGTCCTGCAGTGGCTCTTCAGAGGTCCTCCAGGGGTACTCCAGTGGTCCTCCAGGGTCCTCCAGGGGAACTCCAGGGGTTCTCCAGGGGTACTCTATTGGTCCTCCAGGGGTACTCAAGTTGTCCTCCAGGGGTACTCCAGGGGTTCTCCAGGGGTACTCTAGTGGTCCTCCAGGGGTACTCCAGTGGTCCTCCAGGGGTACTCCTGGGGTTCTCCAGGGGTCCTCCAGGGGTTCTCCAGGGGTACTCCAGTGGTCCTACAGGGGTCCTCCAGGGGTACTCCAGGGTTCCTCCAATGGTACTTTAGTGGTCCTGCAGTTGTATACTCCAGTGGTCTTCCAGGGGTCCTCAAGGGGTCCTCCAGGGGTTCTCCAGGGGTCCTACATTGGTACTCCAGTGATACTCTAGCGGTCCTCAAGGTATCCTCCAGGGGTCCTCCAGGGGTCCTCCAATGGAACTCCAGTGGTCCTCCAGGAGTCCTCAACGGGTCCTCAAGGGGTACTCCTGTGGTCCTCCAGTAGTCATCCAGGAGTACTCCAGTGGTCCTT